GGAATGTTTGGGCCGCATTCCGGAGGCCGAATGGCATACGTAGAAATTCGAAAAGTCCGAAAGGCGTGATGATAGCCGTTTTCGGGATATCTTCCGTTGCCATCGGGATTTGGTTATATGCTTTAACCAAGTCGATTTTGGAGAATATAGATGCTCCAGATAACGTTGCCGTCAAGTCGTGTATGTGAGGCAAAGGGTAGCAATCAGGAGTTGTTTTGGCGTTCACTCGCCGGTAATCACCAGTGGGTCGCCAATCGTTGCTATCCTTTTTCGGTACCATATGCAACGGGGATGCCCATGGACTATTCGATGGCCGAATGATGCCAAGGGTGAGCATATGATCGAATTCGTTTCTGGCAATTCTCAGTTTATCAGGGGCCAGTCGTCGTGCTTTAGATGTCACGGGCTGTCCTGAGGTTATGATGTGGTGCATAACATTGCTGGTTATACACGGGAGATCGTTAGATGGGCAATTCAGTTCCGGATATTTGTCAACAATCGGTTGAAAAGTTGGATCGAGGATTGCTTTCATCTTAACGATTGACAAGCTGGGGCCTACGTAAGTTATGCCTTTGATAGACAAACTAGTAGTGTTGTCAATTAGTCGTTTACGGCGGACGTCTACGAGCAAATCATGATGATTAAGTAGGTCCGTGCCAATGATGGGCATTGTGACGTCAGCGATTAGAAAAATCCACCGAATAGGTTTGCGTAAACCTACGTTCAGATAGACGTATTTCCGACCATAGGTTGCAATTGGTTTTCCATTTGCAGCCTGTAGGTTGAAGTTAGGATCCTTCTGTCGATCTGCTGCTGTAGCAGGAAGGACGCTGACTTCGGCGCCTGTGTCGACTAGATATCTAGTCTGGCTCATTACATCATGGATGTAAAGTAAGCGGCTAGTGCCACCGGCGACGGTTGCCGCTAACGCGTGCCGGCGGGATAGTTTCCCACAGACTTGGAGGCTTTGCCGAAATCACAAGGTTTTCGACAACATTTCGCTTCCTTGCCATAGGTGTTGTGATACCAACACCAGTCAGGATTTTTGACAGAACGTGTGTTGGACTTAGATCGTCCACGTGCGTTTTGCCGTTGAGGGGATCTAGAACGACGGTTTGAGGAATTGCTAGGCTTGTTTGACCTAAGCATCTGCTGGACGGAGTTGATTAACTCTATCATTGCAGAATCCTTCTTCGAAGTCTGTTCGGTAACAGAGTATACTTCGGTGACTGGCCGTTTCGTTATCTCTAGAATTCTATCTGCAGAGACAGCTAAATCATCTATGAGAACACCCTGAAGTGTCACAAGTACAGTCTGAACTGACTGTGGCAGTTTGGATAAAAATAGTTCTCTAAACAGTCCTTCATCGAACTGACTTTGGCCAATGATCTCTTTCATTCTTGCCAGCATGCTCACGGCTGACTGATCTCCTAACTCGATGTTACGAAATAACTCATCCAGACGTTGTCGATCTGTGAGAACGTTTCTCTTGAGGATGGATGCTTTTAGCAACTCGTACGAGTTACTTACCGACATCTGCAGAGTTACGCACTTGCTGAATTCCCGCGGTAGGGCGTGAATAACTGCAAGGAACTGTGAACGTTGATCAGTTATGCCATGTTCACAAAAATCGGACTCAGCAATCTGAAACCACGTTTCAGCATTATCTGGCCAATATGGTACTAGCTGAATTGTTTTGGCGGTTGATCGTATGCGAATAACCTTGGGGCTAGGGTCAGTCATGACGAAAAGTATGCCGATAACAATATAGTACAAGAATAAACACAAAAAGGAACGAACTCACCGGGTTTATCTGCGTGTGAATTGAAGATGTAGTTCGTGGTTGGGCTCACCAGTTTAGGGGTTGACGGTATCGACGTTCGCGAGTTGTACGGATTATACTAACGCAAGATCTTATACCAACAACCACTATAGTGTTCGTTCTTCGAGTACCAAATGGTAAAGCAAAAGACCAGATTTTGTCGTCCAAATACGATATATATTTTGGGACCAAATCGCGGGTAGGAATGAATGCTTAGCTAGCTAGTAATCGTGCACGCACGTGACACGACGGAGCACCAAATGGCGGGGATGCTTGACCGTAAGCCTTCAGCTAAACAAGTCGACTTAAACAGTGATGGTCAGCATCCAATGTTGAGTGATGATTGCTGTGGTTAATAATTTTGGGGAATTATTTACCGCTACAATACCTTCATGTTCTAAGTGGCTAACATTTTTGTCTTTACTCCCATCCAGTCGTTTTTGCAATATCTTGCAGAGTTCCTGAGTTTTAGAGGTGCCCTCCTTGGGCTTTACTTTCCTCGAGTTGTGCCTTCATTTTATTTCTCTGCCTAAGATTTTTGAAAGTTTCACGGAAAGCATATGCATACTTCCCATGATCATGATGACACTTTGCGGAATATGTCAAAATCGTACAGTAATCAAACCCTACACGAGATGTAATTAATTAAATCCGAACGGCAAAGAAGTTGTATTGCACATCTGGATATTCATCCATTTGTTGATCATGATGACAAATCCAAATCACTACCCGTAGAGCGTCCTATTTAGCCCGTATTTTCCGTGATGGAAACACCGTTAGACGTGAAACATATAAGTTACTACACTATCTTTCTGTGCATATAATTGTTCATTGAACTGAATACTAGGCGTACACGTTGGAAGCAGTTCCCTCAGATAGTTTATGAGGAGACAAACTTCTAGGTAGTAAGTTTATATGTGGTCACAAGTGAAGCATAGTTTTTCGGTGAGGGAATTATTGTGAATAGAGGTGACGTCTAGAAAGAGCATTTGTCTTTCAAACATCCCGATATCTTTCACTGAGTTTCATACGTCATATATACATGGCTGAATCATTAGCTATTCCGGATTTGAAACCGGACCTCTGCATTCAAAAGCGCTACATGCATTTACTCGCCCTACCGTGGACAGAGTAAAGTTCTTACTATAATTTCGCCTCTTCTTTTTTATTATGGAGGTTTACTATTATTATTGTTACTACGACTATTATTTTATTATCATTATTATTCCCATCATCCGTATTTTACTACTGTTTACTACTAACATTGCTTTTCCATGCAAATTTTGTATAAAAACACTTTATCGCCTTTCCACTAGTTCCTGTCCATTCCGCACGAGCCTATTGGTTAGTCGTTGTCTCACACTTACATCATGCTAACTTCTGCCTCTTTTCTAACTTCCGATTAGTCGTTCCTTCTAGGTTACGCCTTACATTACGTAATGCATTTTTCAAGGACAACGTTTACGAGTATCAGATTGGTTTGATGATTTCTTTGTCAAATATAATTACGATTGTACAGCTCATGAAAATGAATCGTGAAAAAGAAAATTTTCTTGGCTGTTTACTCCTTTTTCTTATGACTCAATATGGGATTATTTATTATAACCAACTGTGAACTTCATGATATAACTGCCGTATGGTTTACTCCGTTTTGCTGATCTGTAGTTACGGTATGTCTTTTATCATCATCGCACTAAATTTTAGCCGGTTATGAAGTAACTAACCAATGTCCTGGGTCCTAGGTAGTAGTCTCCTGACAACAGCAGTAATTTTCGATATCGTCATTGGTGGTATCTGATCCATCCAATTAACAAGTGCACATATGTGATATGATCTCAAAATTATTTATTCAAACTGACAGGAAGACTGTTGATGATTATAAATAGGACACAGTTCGACAATGAAAATATGAAGTAAATTTATTTAAACTTGCACCAATATTCTAGATGGTCAGATCATATAAAATTCAGACATTTGTCTGACAAAAATCTATAAACTGTCTCCAAATAGTTTTGAAATGAAAATAATTTACTTCTTTTGAGGGGGCTCTTAATGTCATGTTATGCCTCCAAACACTATCTGAAATACACTTTTAAGAACAGGGTTTCGGAAACAACAGTTGGGCAGCGAGCTTCACATATTCGAACTTTTAACTGAGAATGGATGTGGACCGTTAATTTATGTATTTTAGAGTATTTCGGGCACCACTTGCTCAAAGTCGGCCTAGAAGAAGTAGGAGAAATATTCTGACTAATTCCCCTTGGTATTTTAGTGGAAAACTAAATCAGTTTATCGATGGTCATAATTTCAATTCAATCGTTTTGGAAAATATGAAGGACGGGATTTCCCCAATGTAGTCTTAGGTAAGCTCTGCGTCTGTTGATTGATAATTTGCGGATGTAATGAAATACCAAGAGTATTAATGTATACAAATATTCACTGTTACTCACCACAATAACGACTCCACCATCCAATGGAGTGGAACTTAGAATAAAGCCCATTTATTTGAAACGTCATCAGTCCAGAAAAGTATAACAACTGAGACCACGGTGTCAGCGAAAACTCATCATACTATGAAATAGTTTCAGATTTCAGCATTTTGAAATCTTGACAGCTCTAGAAAGAATGCTGTTTCTATATTAAAGCATCAGTGCTTCGTCATGTAATTTTTGTGTACATAAGTAGTTTCTCCTACTTGACAGAAGTGGAATTACAAATACGGAACTTATAATCAGGTCAATTTACTGATTAACTTGACCAATGCCGAAAAAGCGATGTCTAATCCATTACTGTTCTAGATGAAATCTGAAGAGATGTCTTAATATCGATCTACTACTATGTGTAGGTAGCAGTGAGTGTCATTTTTATTCCACAAAATTGAGGTCACACCAGAAGAAACTACGTTGTGATGGTAAACTGTCTGCCTCTAAAGTATGAATTTCTAGCTTCACATTTCTAATGACAGTAATGAATCTCATTTTGAAGTTGTTTCAATAGTAAAGTTATTCCTTCCAACTTCCAACTACTACACCTTGACATATTTAATAATTTATATAAGTCATTCCATTTTTATGATAAGAATGCTGAAATTCACCCTAAATAAAACGTTTTGTTAACAAAATCCATTAACCCTTATATTTTCAGAAGTAAATGTATACGTTTAGTCTCGTCAAGGCAACGTAATGAATTCTAGGTCGTCCTACAAGATTTCTCGCGCTCATTAAGAGATCAGGGAAGCATGACGAAAGAGTTTTCACCTACTAAAAAGTTGAAGAAGAGACTCAAAAAATTAAAGCAGAAAGAAACTTCTGACGGTGCAAGTGTTCCCCAGAATGATGTAGATGAAAGTCAGCCAGGTACTAGCACTTCCCTAGCAGGAACTTTTGACGAACTGCCAATTTCTGAACCTGTTATGCGTGCTATCAAAGAAATGGGCTTTACCCATATGACAGACATACAACAGAAGAGCATTCCTCAACTTTTGGAGCATAGGGACTTGATGGCCTGTGCAAAGACGGGTAGTGGGAAAACATTGGCATTTCTGATACCTGTGGTTGAGCTAATGTTAAACCTCGGTTTACAACCGCGAAATGGCACAGGGGCTATTATTATCTCACCTACTCGCGAACTCAGCCTTCAGACATATGGTGTTTTAAGAGTAAGTGAAGTATTTTCTTAGGAAGTTCTATTTGGATAGGAACTCACTCAGTTCACAAATTTGCGGATCGGACTGATCATGGGTGGAAGCAATAGGCAAACTGAAGCACAGAACCTTGAAAAGGGTGTGACAATATTAGTCGCTACCCCGGGAAGACTGTTGGACCACTTAACGAACACTGAACACTTTCTTCGGCATAATTTAAAGGCTCTTGTAATTGATGAAGCGGATCGTTTATTGGACATCGGCTTTGAAGTTGAGATGCGACAAATTATAAAACTCCTTCCGACAGTTCGTCAAACAATGTTGTTTTCTGCCACACTTAATGAGAAAACGAAGAATTTGGCAAATGCTGCTCTGAAAGCCTCCTGTGTTATGGTTGGGTCTATTCCGAATGAAGAAGCAACTGTAGAAGGGTTAGAACAGGGATATGTTGTTTGTCCTCCTGACAGACGCTTTTGCCTCCTGTATACTTTCTTAAAGAAAAACAAGAATAAAAAGGTAATTGTGTTTGTCGTATATGTAGTTTGGTATGCTTATAAGTTTCCTTATGTATATTCTTTCAGTTCATATTCCTTTTTAAGCTACTTTAACTTGCTTTCTGTATGATTTCGAGTTGTGAGGTGCTCTATAGCTAACGTCAATTAAAATCCAGACTCTAATTTAGGCAGTTTTAAATTCCATTTGCGTCAGGATTTGCGGGATTGTAAGTTAAATTACATGGGTCAGCACCAGTTGACCATCAGATTTTCTCCAAGTGCGTTGTGTTACGATACTTGGTACCAACAATCTAAACTGTAATTTAAGTATAGACTGTAAGTGCTTCACTTTCAGCAATATTTTTTCTGCAGTGTAAAATTGTTTGTTAATCGTAATCCTTTTTCGAGTAAAGAAAAGTAATATAGTGAGATTTGTAAGCAGTTAATAACCTTGCTTAATCCTCGAATTCTTATATTTTGTTTTCTCATCCGCACAAACGGTACCTTTACCTTTGGTCGTGGAACTAATAAGCATGTATGCAAATTCTGCACTTTGTCAGATAGTGGTGAACTCCATGAAAATGTGTTGTAGTTTTCTAGGATAAAATATATGCGGTACATGGTGCCCTTTTTCTTTAGATCAGAGGATTCATTGTGCAGAAACTTAAGTACACAGGCATTTGAGAGCTTATTTAGGGTTATCACTTGACCCGATAGAAATCGATGTCTTTCTCCCTTGATGTCGCATTTACTTTCATCGTTTCTCATTGGAGTGTTAGTCAGATTAACTGGTAATTCAGTTGTTGCTTTAGAACTATCCAATCCTTCTAAAGTTTGCAGATGATGTAGTCACTGAGGAGTTTAAAAAAATTAGGTTTTCAGGAAATCTCAGATATGAGTTGGAGTGTAATGTACTTTTCAGATATTGAACATAATGTTCTCATACTTATCTAGGTAAGTACTTAATTTAAGAAATGGGGCTGTTGTACAAGAAGCTGCATAATAACTTGATTTCTGATGGTAAACCAATCAGCTCAGCGAACAAAACTAATCGCAAATCGTCCACCTGAGTTACAAATATTCTCTATTATTTCAAGATGGTTAAATATATTAGTTACACTTTCCAGCCTGAGTAACTGTTACTACTTGTAATAACTAGTATAGTGGACGTGCTGTTGATTATCTTTGCTTAAGTGGCATTGTCTACGAGTGACACAACTATCGCGTGAACAGTTCAATAGACAGGCAGTACTGGGTAATTCATTTGAGGTAGTTGTGACCGCATCTCGTGATGTGATTTTGTCACATGTGCCTATCCTTCGTCAAGTTGAACGTACTGTTATTGTTAGTGAGATTAAATTAGGAGGTAGGTATACCAAAGATATGTACTGTTTATTTGAGCAGTCTAGGTTACTTTTCTCAAGTACATGCAACCACAACATAGTTAGGTAATATTCTTCAAACAAAGTTGCGGTGGTGCAGGAGGATTATATCCTTATTTTTGCTACATTATTAATTTAATCGCGATTTCTTGTAGTTTAATTCTGTGCCTTTGGAAAACGTTTTGTTGCATATCGCGTAAAAACATAAAAATGTCTGAACTCAAAGATAACCCCACGTAAAGCAACTAGAAAGGAAGAAGAAATGTTACCGCTTCTGGACATATTTCAATATATGGTGTCAGTATCTGCTACACTATGCGTCGCTGTGACCCAGTGCCATGTGCTGTTTGAAACAAATATCCTACATAGCCAGGAAGTTCGAGTGGATAATGGCTAGCCTGTAAGCACCTACTGTCAGTCTGAGTTGCTTATAATACATTAGGGCCCTTAGAGAGAAGTTGTACTGTTAGCTAGTAAGGATTTAGCAGTAATGAAGCTGACCAGCAAGCTATATTAACTTCCACAAAAGAGGGCTCAAGGCAGATTGATTCCGAAAGTTGTACATACCCACTCTATTCAACGGTTTGTAATTAATCATAGGGTTTTGTATAGACAAACCTTTAAAATTTCCATCGTCTCTATAAGATTGTGTGGCTGACATCAAGCAGTTGTCCCGTTGACTTTGACGTCAAGTAAAATTAGTCACTCGTAGTTACTTCAAAAAGAAACTGACTTTCACTTTGTGAGCAGTCCTGAAGCACTAACAATCCACAACCTAATCCATCTTTCTCATCTCTATCGCCTTCAATCTGACGTCGTCCAACCACTAATACTACCCATATACAGTTTCTTAATCTCCTAATAACTCCGTGACTTAAACCGGAAAAACGTTATTGCTAACCTCTTAAAACCATGCTGCAAAGTTCATATTTTTGAACTTTAAACAGCTCAACCTTACACCGAATCGGATAGCGGGACTAACTAGTCAAATTACTAGCATGTCAAATTTTGAACACAAACGGTATATCTGAGAAACGTATGCAAGATCTATATCCACCCCTAAGCAGTATGTTGAGGCGATAAGAAATTCACCAGATTCTTTGTCTAGTTCTCTTGTTCTTGTTTGTTTAGGGCAGCATTAGATTGAATTTCTTGACGTGAAAGAGCCGTTTCACTCTGTTGATTGAGAGCCGCCGTGTCAGCATTTGTTTGTAAACCGGGTGCCAAATAAATACACCGAACCAATCAATGCCTTTTACTCGAATATATGCAGCCATGTTGAAATCTATGAAAAGCTGTCATCTGATGTGCTAAGGATTCCCACTGTCGTCATTCTTATTCGACTTCATTACATATGTAATAACATATGACTTCGATGTTACAATCGACGTGTTTCCTAGGAAAGTCTGGTTGATCTAGAGTATATAGGCGTGTATGATTGGCATCAAATTCTCCTGTAATAAATGTAAGATATCATAGCAGAACTAATCTGTATCAACTCTTAGTCTGAGGGTAATGAGTAAAATGGTTAAGTCACGCGACTTATTTGGAAAGATGCATCAGATCAATTAAACTTGTTAACGAAATCTTCGGAGGAGGTATGGTCAGAGAATATTGATAACACGTCTTGGTGGTGCAAATGTATTCACCTGTTGTTAGCATCGAGTTTCTGAAAATCATCGCCTAATTATTGTCTCCATATGTCTCAATCCATTGTGGTCTGAATACATTTCTTTTCTCTACTATGATATGTACTTTTCCGAAGTGTAGCAAATTAAACTGTTCTACTCACTGGACAGTTTTACGTTGATAATTCGGTCAATAAAACAGCAATTACAGTCCAAGAAACGCTTTTGATATTTATTTCGTAGAAGTTTGATGCTTGACAGTATTACGGACACTACTGTATTCGTTATCTTTTTGGATAGATTTATTGGTCTCTCTATATAAAGTCCAACTTGATTTGCTACTCACAGTAACAGACAAGTTTTTCATTTAGGGGGAAGATTACGTTAACTACAGAAGCATATAAACCTAGAAGATGGCAATGCATTAAAGTAGAAGTGAGGGTACACATTACAAAGCTGTTAGATTTACTTTTCATCAGGTCCTGATTAGTTTCACTTATTTTCAACCAGGTCTGTCCATCACACTTGCATTTGTCTGTTGGGGCGTCATTCTACTTTGCCCCTTTATTTTGAGTGCGACAGCCTGTTGATATGTATCGATTTTATTCTCAGGGTCTTCGGGATGGTAAGATTTAGTGTTTGAGAAGTGGTGGTGAGATGGCCTGAAACTCTTCATTATATATACCGTCTTCCAGATATTGAAAGGCTTCATTAATCTTAATTTAACTAGAAATGATTGTTCAGTACCCAGTCATTTTATAAAATAATACTAACACCAACTGATCATGTTTACTATGATACTTTTTCAGATTATGGTTTTCATGGCATCTTGTATGGAAGTGAAATTTTACTACGAGTTGTTAAACTTCATAGACACTCCAGTTCTAGCTATACATGGACGGCAAAAACAAGCCAAAAGAACAAGTACTTTTCTACAGTTTATAAAGGCTGAATCCGCTGTACTATTGTGTACTGATGTAGGAGCACGAGGTTTGGATATACCAAAGGCAAGTTTATTTTCACCTCTTTGGTTTTTGTATAAGGACAACTAGTTAATGCGATTGTGTAATTTATTCGTATTTAAATAAGGACACAGACACAGGCAGTAAACATACGTACTAGAACTTCATCCTTGAAATGCTATATATATATATATATATATATATGGCGTTGGGTAATTGTACCTGTTGCATGTTTTAGGCGTGTGTTTTACCTGTGTGGTAAGATCTTACTGACTTTCTGACCGTGTCCATGGAGTTATGGTTCATTCATTTTGGCATTTGATTGTCCAGTGTTCGAAGTGTGCTAAACTTGGGTAACTGAATTTCAACACATGACTTAGCACAGAAGTGCAGCACGTCAAGTCACCTCATTCCATATAGCACACAAAGGTAGACAAAAGAGATTCAAAAGGATTACAGTAAGCAGAAATGTGAGGGAGAAAGAATAGTAACATGGAAAAACACTATGGTTTGATGGATATAGGAGACCAGAAAGAGTAAGTGTATCTGCACAATTGAGCCATATCACCATTGGTTCTTAGCAGGCAGTCTGCTTGGCTCAAACTAACTGTCAGAGATTTCATGGATTGACGACAGGCTTTGATCTGACCACCCTTAACCCTTTCCCAAACTAATTCTCTGTTAACTAACACTGTCTGTTTAGAAAGGCTATGTTTTGAATAAGCTTATCGAGGTTTGAACATACTTCATCAAAACTTATAATATAATTACTTCACTAACCATATTGTGTGAGCCCAGGGAGTGAGATTTCAGTTTTTAATTTAATATTATAATAGTGAACTGCTCAAAACTAAGTATGAAGAGAAATCAGCTACATAAGCAAATAAACTATAACTTCACATGAGAAGTATAGGTATTGTGGACTGCTAATAAGTATGACATTTTGGTGGCTTAGAAATAATCATCTGATTATACCAGAAACTTGTATAGTTCATTATCCTTAAGCAACAGTTGAGGAATGTAACTATGACGACCAATGTCTTGCAACATTTATATTAAAAGGATTTCCATTTTCACACGATGGAAATAATCAAACAGAACAGTAAGTCTGAGGACAAATATAATTATACACTTATCGTTTGTGCAACAGAGTGTATAGAAGCGTTCAGTTAAGGGAGAAAACTGAAGTTCATCAATCCATTAGATTGTTCTGTCACCTAAATCAATTTCTGTTCAAGATGTCCGAAGCATCATACAGCGTCAGTATCTCAAATTGATTCGACAATATGGCATCCATGTGGTAGGTTGATAAATACATGAGAAATTATAATCTTTAATCAACAGAGAGAAGCTCGTCTTCAAAAAGATATCTACGAAAGTTGGATTGAGGGAAGCCTGTGTATTAGTGAAGAATTCCGCATGCTTAAGTACGATGTGAATATAACTTACTTTAATTTTAATGAAATAAAACAAAATGCAACCAGTCGAACGTTTCAGTGACTAATTATGGTGGAACATAAAATGATAATTGCCAAGGCTGAAATAATTTTAGAACGGGGGTCTGATGTTGACGGTTGCACGTAACCCTTGATGACTTTAACGAAATGATGACCTGGTCTTGTATTTCAGCTATAAATCAGAAGGTTACCGACTTGAATCCTGCCAAACCACAAGCTTTTTCACCCAGTTCCTGCGTACTTGTTAGTGCTATATAAATAATCATTCTGGTCAAAACTTACTGTCTTCTATGTTTTAGTGGTTTGAACATATACACAACACATTTTTGCGTACACAAGTTGATGACATTTCAGTGGCCAGTGGCTTATCTCAATGATCTTAAGCATGTGAGATTAGAAAATTGAGGTAATACCACTTACAAAACGGTAAAAGCCGAAGTTTCATTAATCTGACTTCTAACGAAATTATGCCCCATTATTAAGCTTTTGATGAGCTCAGTTTTTCTCCATCTAATCATACTAAGATGGTCAAGTTGCCCTACAAATGTAACTGCCTCCACAAAAATAGTTGGGACTATGGATACATATAAAAGTAGATAGACTTAATAGTTTATCTATCATCTGTGCTTCAGCGCCAGTAAATTCATTACCTGAGGAGCAATTCAATTAGAAACCAGTACTTCCCAGTTTTTCCGACTGATGTTAACTCGTGACCAATCAAATCCCTGCAAGCCAACACTTGAAAATATATCCATGTTAAATGATTTCCGACGTAGTCTTTTAAACTTCTTTAATTATCATAATAAGAAAATTTAAACCAAAAGAGTAGTTTCAGTTATTTGGTGCAATGAATATTAGATAACACATACATCATGTAAGTGTGTACGCCTACAACTTCACTAATTTTTTATTCATTTTCATTTAATAGGTTGATTGGATATTGCAGTACGATCCTCCTGATGATGCCAAAGAGTACATACATCGTGTTGGTCGAACAGCCAGAGCAGGTAGTACTGGGAATGCTTTGTTAGTGCTACGACCTCATGAGTTAGAGTTTTTATCAATCTTACGAAAAGCTCGAGTCAAAGTTGTAGAATATGAAATAGCTAGTTCAAAGATGGCAGATGTACAACCTGCCCTAGAAAAGTTAGTTGGTAAAAACTATTTTCTTGCCCTCTCTGCTCAAGAAGCTTTCAAAGGCATTGTTCGGGCTTACGCTTCATCCGGTTTGAATTGCTTTAATGTAGATGAACTAGATCTAGCTGCAACAGCAAAAACATGTGGGCTCTCAATTGTACCAAAAGTAGATCTCAATGTAAAATCTAAAAGAACTCGTGAAATTCCTGGTCAGAAACGTTACAGACCATTTGGTGTTTCTGATAAAAAAGCCAAAAAAGCAAAGATCTACAAGCGGATATCTTGATTATGTATTTTTTTCAAACAGTATTTTGTATATATCACAAATAAAATTTTCATTTAATGAATACTGTACAATTTATGAAAAAAAAATGAGTTAGTGGTCGCGAAATCTAGACTAAAAAAGCCATTGTTTTTAGCATTCGTATGATATGTACACGGTTCTCACAGGTATCTACAGTATTTATTATACAGTTGATCAACTTGCTCTCGTATTGAACCAGTATCTGTATGTGGCATAGGATGCCTATGCCGAGCAAATAAGTTTCGAGCTATGTCTAGGTAATGCAATGCAGTCTTGTAATCTGAAGTACATATGGAGCATTTAGCTCGGTACAAGTAGAGCGCGGCGTAGTGATTTGGTCGTAGCTTTTCAGCCTGCAGAAAAAAAATAAGTACAAATGGAGTTAGTTTAATTAGTTACTCAATTCTTGACTATGGTATTAAAAGTGATTATTCGCGCATACACTTACATTTTCAAATGCTGTATTCGCTGCTTCAATAGTGGACGTTGGAGGCTTTGAAAATAACTTAGATGCGATTTGGCGTTCAATCCATGAAAGATTATAGACCTAAATTTTTAAAAATTTAGTTTATATATAAACATGAATAACTTTGTGAAAACTGTAGTTTAATAAAAATGCAGAGTGTTAACAATCATCCACACAATATGAATGCTAGTCACCTTTGAGAATGTTGGTTCATGAAAACATATCTGAAAATGCAAGTGGTTTTACAGTAAGGATTGAAACAATATTTTGAGCGAATATCTTTTGCGTTTCGAATGGTATAAATGTGTTTGATACCAATATACGGCTGAGTAATCTAATATACATTTAAAAAAATGGTAATCGATTAATTAAAGGACAGACAAAATGTATTTAGGAGAGTCGGCATCATTCATCAACATTTTCAAACATATTTCAATACATATAGATCCGAGAGCAGCTACCAATGATAATTTTGTGGTTTGAAGTGCCTATTCAGCGATTCAGCTGCACTCTAAGATTTATTTTTGGTCGTCTACTACGATGAAAAAGCTCAGTGCATTCAAAAAAAGATTTGTTACCAATAATTCAAGCATACCTCGTAGCACCAACGACCTTGTAGATAATAGGATAATGCATCTGAGGCATCAAGTTTGATAGCAGTGTCGATTAGCTCCTGAAATGAAAGTAGAACAAAAACCATATTACTTGGTGGAACAAGTTAGTATTGTAATGGAAAAGACGAATCTACTTCGTCACTCTAACCTTCGATGGTGGCAAATTCATGCTATATTATTCCTAGTTCATTTTCCTGGCAAACATTTTGGAATTACGAGTTATAAATAGCCGCTAAGAATTCACATATAAAACGTAACAAATCAACATAAAACCTCGGAAAGAATTGCATAGTCTAAGTGGTGAAACATTGGGACATCAAGGTTATCCCAAACAAGAATAGTTTGCACTTGTGTGAGAAGGAATTTTAAATTTACCTTCACATTTTGATTCAAAATCGTGCGAAATCATATCACGTAAAATAGGCCTGGGAAATGAGTTTTATCCGACAAGTCAAATAAACTATGAAAAGTCTTAAAGCTAAATAAAAATTCCCCCAATAGTTCCCTAAGCTCCCAGGGATTCGAAAAGGTGGACCCCACCGACTCTGACTACTTATTGAGACTATGGGGAAATCTGTCTATAAACTAGACACCAATGTGCAGAACAGAGATATTCAAATGTTAAATTTACGCATATCACACTGATGTGGTAGTGAATTTCGTCACGAATCGACAAACAATTACGAATATAAAAGACCTACTATCAGCCGAATAAGGAGTCAGACTATGTAAAGAAATGTTAAAGTTGTATGATTGCCTTGGTATGGTCATCTGTAATAAATAATGTCTGTTTTATTAGGTGAGCCATAGTTCGCGAAGTAGCTGGTCTTTTATCCTATAATTAATACTGAATTCAGTGGGTGACGAATGAAGGTTACATCAGAACTTGAACTACTGGCCTCTCAATTACTAATCAGGTGAGCTATGAGACCCAACTGTTAACCAGGTCATTAATTCATTGCAACCATCAGGAGAACACGTAGTTGAGTAAACTGAGCGCCACATTTATTTGTAAGGATTAGGTTTATTTTTTTACGAGTTTGACCACGGAGTGATCTCGGTTAGAGAACCATTGAAAACCAAGGGGTACTAATTGTACCGTAAAAGCTTTCGATACAATTTCAGTTTCCCGAGGATCTAAAAACAAAAGTAACCATGCTTGGTGTGTCCATTCGACGTAGTTTCAATGCTGCACTTTTTTAAACCTTTCTTTTGCCCAGTAGTTGATTTAATAATTATGTATACTGTTATGCATTATCCTAGCTATTAAGGGAGAAACTCCAGTCCTAGTCCCCTTCTCGCATGTTTCAGATACATGTTGCTGACAATTCCTGGCAATTACAATAGATTCCTAATATATATATATATATATGCACAAATATCCGAATAACTAACCTTAAACTCATAGCCATATTGTATTCTTTGTTGAGCACTGACATAGGAAGAATACACACCGACTAAAATAGCCAACCATTTATATATTGGAGCTAATTTAATTGGATCATCATCTAAAAGCGATAGATTTGATTTCTGAATTATATTCAATGCTCGACGTGCACATTTTATTCCAGATTCAATGAATTGTTTTCGACTTTGTACTTCACATGCAATATCATTTAAGTTACGGGAACTGTGCGAGCTTTCAGAAGCTGGCTTATTTTTTAACATATCAGTTTCTTGTATAACTTCATCTGATGGTGCTTCCTCACTGGCTATGTAGGTGGCACGCGCTAATCGCCACAAGAATTCTGGACAAAAGCGATACTACAAAAGTGTTCATAAAATTATAAAAGGGATTAATTTGTAAGGAAAAGAATACAGTTCGCTTCTTGAGATAAAAGCAAATAGATGCTATGAGGCGCTAAACCGATTATCCAGCTGACAGTGGGGTTTATGAAAGTTACCCGTTTCTACTGCGTACTTCAGAAATATTGATAACTGCGCACAAACATGTGAAACCTGAAGATGGTGAGGTATTGTATGTTTAAGTGTAATAAATAAATAGATTTACATTTAGATTTTGAGCTCTTTAACACAACGACATTATCCAGCTTAATTTTAATGTAAATTTCGTCATGAAATGGCATCAGTTGGAGGATTATTGAAAGTCAGGTGCAAAATCTACATTGAGCACGCTGATTTTAATGATTCTCTTTTTTATTACAGCTTGATTCCACACCGTATTTTTGGTACAAGTATGGAATTTTCAGCATGTGATATCGGTAGCCCAAATTTTGCAGGCCGACCATTTATCTCAGGTGTGCGTCGGCAGGGGATCGAACCCCGGACCATGTGCATGGTCGGCGAGAGTCCTAACCACTGTGCCACCGACTTCAGTTAGTGAAGAAATCTACATCGTAATAAGAAATTAACTATGTGATGAACATGTCTTCATTGCTAATTATTTAGTATTCAAATGAAAGTATTATAAGTATTATTAAACATAAGAGTGAGAAATGAATATCATTGAAATTTTTGAATCTTAAGTTGTGTGGTTTTCCTGAACCTAAATGCTCGGCCACTGTTGGCATGCCGATATGATGATGTGGATGATATGATGATGCCACGATTGATTAGTAGGCATTATTAAGCCACCTGTTATACAAACCAATACGCCAACAGTGATTCAGTATCTCTGTCCAGTAAAAACGAACGCGAAATCGAAACATTTATGTAAATAATAACTGATGAATGCTGTACAAGATGTGGCTCTTGTGACCTAAAAGATAATACCTTGGAGTTTGAATTGATCGCTACAGGGATCGGGCCCATATGGAAAGACAACCACTCAGTGAAGATCCAGACACACTCAGGTGGTGACTCCCAAACAGGACGGAATGCAGATTCCACCAATAAATATTGTATATACATATGTCACAGAAACAAAACTTCATTACCTTACTAACATTTTCAACTTTAAAGAAAACATTAGGGAAGGTTACTACCATATAAATTGATAGATCCGTACCTTGTGCCTATAAACTAAGCACCTTGCATAAGCTTGCATTCCTGGAGTAGTACTGTCTCCACTAGGATTGATTTGTAATTCGCTTGACGAATGTTCACCAAGGGCATAATCCGCTAATTTATCTATTTCCTCCAAGATGTTTGCTGGAACACGTACTGTCATGTCCCAGTAAGAATAATCATTTGACAAATGACTGTTCACACTGTGAAAAGAATTCACTGAGGATAAAACTTCAGTTGGAGATTTTGCGGACTTAAACGATGCAGAGTTGAAGCTTCAGATATAGAAAACAGTAAAATCACTGAAAATTAGTTGCCACTTAAACTGAAACTAACAACAACGCAAACTTTACTCTCACAGATAATGAAAGGTGTGTGGCAGCATACTATGTACACAACATAGCAAACACTAAAACGTCTGTATCTCACGCTTAATAAAGAATAAAAACCTAGTTGCAAAACTTATAAGGATATAGACTTTGGCGGTAAATCTTGCTATCTGGAAATTTGATGCAAGTTTTATAAGACAGAAACAAAATGAATGCTCAATTATACCTGAAAGGCATAATTTTGACGATGACTCAACAGCTAAGAATAACTGTAATTATTCAGCAAGAAGCGATTACACCCCAATTTCTAAAAAAATAAAGAAACCGGTAGAAGGAGTACTGTCTTGAATTAGGCATCTTTCGATAACCTCCACATTTCGATAGGTGACTTGAAAGAAATATCTGTCAGAAGCGGAAATGTGTTTGTTCGATTAACAACAGATATATGACCTCACATGTCTGTAAATCTTCTTAAGTCTTTACGCATATTTTTACTCCAGAATGTTAGCATTTGGGGAAATATACAAGTCTTTAGATGATAAGAGACATCCCAACAAGTAAGTCTGAGTTTCTCTAAGTGACACAAACTTACAGCCACGAGGTTAACGTGTTAGTGTGCTTTAATTTAGAAACCTTAAGTTTTTGTCTAACTTCCTTTTATTCGATCTAACCAACTGAGTTACAGCAAGTGTAACAACCACTTAAGCTGACAGAACTCCACAATGCATCTAATTTACCTTATTTACTGAATGTTATACAACTAAACACTATATAACATGTCTGCTAACCCATCAAAACTATGTTACTCGAGCAATGCTGGTTAAATACCTAAGTCGATTACAACTACATAATTTTTTATTGATTATGCTTCATAAACACGTAACAAAACAGTGTTACACTGGATTACTGCTATTAAAGGAACGTTGTATGCATGAAGTTTCAAAAGCACTAGAATCAATCACTTTCTAGGTTCCAAGAACTGATTACGGTTAAACACTCTAGCAAACCCTCATTAGACAGTTGAAGATAAAGACAATAGTATGAAAACGTAAAAAGCAATAACATACTCATCATCATCGTTCTCAACGTCTAAAAACTTCTCATAATCATCCATTGAGTCAGTATCATCATCAAACATGAAATACGGCAGAGTTTCAACCTAGAAAAAAATTAATGTATATTACAGTGAGGTGGAAATAAACGATGGAAAATTCATCAATGGAAAGTTTTAAAAGACTGATAATACTTTTAGTGGATAATAAGTAGCGCTTTGTCTGCGATGAAATAACGACCCTCTCCAAATACTTAAGGCAAACAGCATAAAGCGCTAATGGACCTCTAAATTAATAAATAAAAACTTAAAAAAGGGAGTCATCCATAACTATGCATTGTAAAGACTAAACATTCAATGTAAAACAAACGATTAGATGAAATTGTATATACTCATAAAAAGGTTATAAAGAAACCAGTTAATGTTACTGCTACGGATAAGATAAATCAACTATAGAGACTTCGTGCATTAGTATGCGCATTTGACTTTCGGCAATTGGGGCCGACGTTAGAGTCTAACTACACCTACTTTAGCTTGGGAAACTGGTTAGTATCAATATCTCTCACACAATATGCGTGGCTGATAGCCTGGTACTTGAAATATATTCGGGGTAGCTGAGCTCAAACTGAAACTGGCCGGAGATTTTACAACAGCCACCTACCCTGCTGAAACTTTCATACTTAACTGCTTAGTGCAAATAAAGGCACAGAAATAATGAGTAGAACAATCAAGTTTAGGTGTTGGAAGTGATATTGCTTACTTTTAGCGGCTCAAAAGAACTAGAATAGCTTCCGACTATTACCAGATGCAGCCGATGACTCTGTCTCACAGACACGTTCTGATCATCAAGCTTTGCGGTTCTTACGTTAGCATTGTTTGATCATATGTATAAGGTCCCTGAGCAGGTTATTACAATCGCCATCCTCCAGCATAAATCAAAAGGCCTTAGAGAAGTTGCGACAAACTAGCAGAAGTCCAATGGCTTTTACGGAAATGTCCTCCTAAGCCATAGGGAGCTCTACTCTCCACTTTTGTAGCGTCTTGTAGGTTCAGCTAATTTTCGTCTATATTATCTTGGGGGTTTATGGTTAGCGCTGAGTCAAACGTGGTTCGATAATTGGCAGCAGTAGCAGGTGTAACCAGTTTACTTACGTTAACGTTTTGAGGACGACATTCGTGATCGCCACCGAACCGCACGATAAACCAGGATCGGGAATCAGACATATGTTCGAGCAGGAGCAGAAGTCCCGTATACATCCAAGCTACTGGTAGCTAATGGTAATATAATCTATTTGAGTTCAGGCTTGAGTGGCAGAAGAGACAGAGAAAATAAAATTATGGCTGATGAACATGAAACAACATTGAATTGTGAAGACAACGTTTCACTATTTTCAAGATGCACGATCAATCCATTTAGAACGGTGTTAAGTAATTACTTTTTGAAGTCATATTAACCCTCTCATGTTCAGTCACTAAATTAATGCGTTTAACATCAATACTCACGCGCCCTTCAGTAATTTGATGCGTGGTAGTACAACTAAGGAAGCACCGGCATCAAAACTTAATTGCTTTTCTCTAAGTATCGTACTTAACACATACTGGTAGCAAGAAATAATTTGAAAGCATTAAATACCTTCTAAAACTCATGAACATAATATATTTACAAAAATATTCACAAATACATCATGAAAACTCACATCATGTCTGTTATTCAAAGCCTTCAAGTTTGAATTATATATTTCATTACGCAGGACCAATAATTCCGCTTTAATACTTGTTAATTGTTCAGTCATCTGACGAAACTGTTCACTTTGTTTGTTTCGATTCAAAGATTTTACTAAGGCGTTCCAAAGACCATAAAATGTGATACTAAGGCCAAATCCTAAAGCAGCACCTAGAAGAGCGCTGACAAATGTGCGTTTGTCCAGACGTCCAAAGGTTATTAGTCCCGTACCAACAACAGTACCAGATGTTGCGACTTTCAGCATATTAGTGTCTTGGTCGATTGCCATTAGATTTATAACTCACTGAAATAAATGGACAGAACATTATGCTGTTTTCTTGAAACCTTAAAATAGAATACTACGTCTTCTCAGGATGAATGTTTGTAATGACACAGCAAAACGTAGTGATTAATCATAATGGTTTCATGTGAGTTATTTTAATCAGTTGTACGTTGTTTTCTGGAACGATCACTCTATTTGTTCGAAAAAACTTAATTACATGAAATGGCTATAAACAGATAAATCGCTAAGTAAAGCTTTACGACAAAAATAAACTATAGCCTTGAATATATAACCCTCGCCAAACTGCTGAACGAGAAAATAAAGAAATTAGTGGTAGACTTCTGGAATCGATACAGAACACAAACTGATTCCAGTCTTGGGCAGTCCATCTTTATTGTGCCAAATTAAATTCACTATAATTTGTAATGAGATGAGTAAAAAGACTGTCTTTACTGTGGTTCAAGGATTATCGAGGTCATTACAAAACACCAAACATACATTGGAATTTCTCCAGAGTGCAAACAAATATAACCAATTTATCCCCATCTACTGTATCGCAACTTCAACTGGAGGCGCTATCAAACGGACTGCAATACAAGATCATGCCTCTAAAAGTAAACAAAATGGAGCTGCAGTTGCAGCACAAAAATATGGATGAAAAAATCCCAGGATTAACTTCATCTAATGAAGACAATCTGGATCAGAAAAATGGTTTGACTGAGGAACATCACACAGCACTGAAAAAATTAGAACAGGAAGGCAATTTTTTCATTCGAAAAACTGTTGTTATTAAAGGTGAATTTAATAATTGAAAGAAAACATAAAGTACTCAAGGATCGATCCAAACTTCAAATGGACAATACTAGAAATAGCATTCTGCCTGTTGGAAAGAAGATTAATCATCACCTTCAGACAGTGTTCATCCCAATATTCTAGTGACATAGGAATTCTAAGCAAACAACAAATTACTTCCCTCAATCATTCCACTGACTCAGCATAACGTCGGAATAATATCTTCATTACTGAAATTTCGCTCCTAATCAGTACAAGTAAAATAATTGTTTTCAATGGTCTGTAAGAATGTACATCAGGGAAACACTGCTCAATGTACTTAAGAGCACACTTCCCGTCCCACGAGCTAATGCGTATCCTAAAAACTTTATTTTATGTCATAATAAAAAATACTACTCTATTAAAAGTTAGCCTATGTAACAAAGAACTACCATTCAAGAGTGACCAAATTATGCAAATGATGGCTTAAAAGTTTCCATCATACATCGAACTCACTTTATACATGGTAGCATTTTCCCAACCTTTCGAACTTTTTATTTCCTGTATCTAGGAATACAGGATGTAATTCTATAGACTATAATTTATATTATAGGGACAAGTCCACTCGTAGATCCAATGTACTTGATCTGAACAGAAGTCCAGCGTCATCTATCGCGAGACATTTATTACCTAGCTACAAATCAATTTGCGCTTTCTCATAATTATTTCATATAATTCTGGTTAAAGTTTATTAAAGGTGATTAAATAATTTCGGATTAATCACATGAACCCTAAATTGTGTTTAGCAAATAAAATATCTCTACTTTTATCTACCCTGGGCTACTTGGTCTATTGAAATAAGATTGATTGCTTATATCCTTTTATTATACAACTGCCCAGCATGAGATATATATCGCGAGATTACAGGAAATACGAGGTGATATCACCTCTCAATGTTTCCTGTTCATTGGAGGAAATAACTTTTCGTGGGTATTTTGCCTGTCAGCACACATCATAACTACCGACAAAAAAATTAAAAGTTCTTTTCGCTAGCTTTCAGACAAGATCCTGAGACAATCTCCCAGCTGCATTAGAACACACTTTCAAACCTAAAGTTCCTTATATCGCACAATACAAGTACATATGTGCTTGTAAACGAGGTTGATTTAAGTGGTTCACAGTTTAGTTAATGATTTCACAGATTCCGCATATGCATTGCGAAGCTCGGATCTTATCTGAATGAGATCACTCATTAATTTGTTGCCATTACGTTTAAGTGGTATGGGACTGATCTCCATATTATATACTCTAAACAACAATCCCAACTACTGTTTGACATGCTGTTTCTCAAAATAGAGATTTAGACGTCAGATAGTTTATTAAAAATGTCCGAGTTGAATTCTGCAGGACGTCATGCAGAGTAATATGCGTAAGTACTTACACATATCCTCGATATTCTTGTATCCTTATATATATATATATATATATATAAGGATTGGTGTAAATATGTACATCTAAACCGAAAGAACAAAACTGGGGGTGGATAGTGAAAAAAAGCAAAAAAGATACAGCTTGTGAAAGGTTGCAAGAATAGTAGATAAAAGGGTTTTGGATGGTGTAAATAAGTGATTTTTTTTATTAATAATTATTGCAGTCTTTCCACTCTAATTAATTAACCGTCCTGACGAAATTTTAGAAAAGATGAATGCGGGGCTTTAAAAGTAATATTAAGACGCATTTATCGTAAAAAAGGAACTAAAGTCTCTTCGTCCAAAAGGTCAAACTAGATGACCATGAGACAACTCAAGGTCAAGGACTTTTATTTCAAGGTTAAACATATAAATTGCAGTGAAAGCGGTTAAACGCTTAGTCTGATTTTTCGCCTATTCACAGTAAGAACGAAATGCCCGAAGCCTTCTTAAATTATGTTTGTCTATCCATCTGGCTTTCTTCTGAGTAAGTTAGCTTAAAAGCTGAACATTATTTGTTACCACGATAGGACCTAAAACTAAGTTAACCTGGTGGGAAATCCACAACTCACAGTGTATTATCCACGACTTTTATCGCCTGATGTTATGCATCCTAAATTACATTGATCAATTCAATAAATGTCTGAAAAGCTGGGTTCGAACCATTGGACATGTCTATAGATGCTTATTGGAATCTATTTAACAGATGATTTGAGCATGCAACAAGAAAAGTATCATAGATACTTCTTTTATTCTAAGTGTGACAACAGCAATAAAATGTTTTAATGAATTACTGTCCTCTTTTAGCTCTCTGAGGAATTTTATCATTGTCGACACAGGAAGGTATGGGAAACTTTGCTACCTTTAGAAGACCCCAGGATAAAAACAGTGGCCCTAGAACTACCTAACCTCTCCTAGTTAATTAGCTCACCAGTCTTCAATCCGGTCCCAAGCTCGAGTGAAAAGGGAGGGGTGGTCGTAGGGCTAGCAACCATGCACAATTAAACCTATCAAACCGCTACAGAAACTTCAAAACACAAAAAATATATTAAAAATACAAAAAATTCAAAGAACGAGCTCATTCTTCGCTGGAATCGGAGAGGCAAAATGGCGCAGTGGGCTGGTGAAAGTATTCGAGAAGCCAGTCAGTCGATGTGTCTTCTCTCGATGAAAGGAAGAATAAGAATGCGCACGTGAAATATCTATACAATGTACGAGACTGGAAAGGCTGCCAAGATAGTCAACGAAATGCGAAGATATGGCCTAGAAGTGCTGGATATTTGCGAAGGCGGATGGAGCGGATGTAAATTATCCATATTGTCAATTGGAGAGTTGGCAATCTACTCCGGTCTGGTCACCCATACGACAACCATGAATACAGTGGCTATAATGATGTCGCCAGCGTCATCCGGAGCCCTAATACAGTGGGAACCAATATCATCCAGGATAATAATAGCGAGATTCAACTCAAAAAGAAGGAAGGTCATAATTATCCAATGCTACGCACAGTGCTACAAACAACGCGGAACAAGAAAATAAGGAAGAGTTTTACAGACAACTACAAACAGTGATTGACAACATCCCGAAAGGTGACATCAAATCCTTATGGGTGATATGAATGCCAAACCGGGGCAAATAACACAGGAAGAAAACTCATCATCAATAGAGAGGCTCTGGATAAGTGATATGAACGGAAACAGAGAATTAATTTTAGACTTCTGCTCTCTCAACGATTTGGTGATCAGGAAAGACAAGTGGGTCATCCTGGGGTGAGATAGAGGAGGTCGTGTGTACTGTACTAATAAAATTTTCTCATAAGTATTTTAATTGAAATGATTCACAGGGCAGAAGGAGCTGATACGTAGATTCCATAATCTTTGAGCTTAGTAATATTTCTGGCAGGAAAAGCCATTTACTTGCCGACCAGTCTAATGTCCTTTAACTGGTGCTACAGCTTCATCCTATCATAGAAGATACGACCGCCAGTACCTCCAAATACTGTCCTCAAATTCGGTTCAGAGGATTCTTTCGTCTTGAGGTAGATAGACTTCCCCAATGAAGTTAAATTTGACATTTCCACTATCAAATAAAACTGCTCCTTTGAAATTGAGGTGAAAGCTTTGGCCTTATATTACATATCTGCCTCCTTGCAGTGTATAAGCATAGCTGATAGAACCAAAGAATTCGTTCAGAATTTCTTCGTGACCTAAATATCTGCAACGATGGCGGTGAGGAGATTAACTGTGTGCTTTCGTGCTGGTTTAGTGTATGAGGAAGTCTTCACCTACCACCTAAGTGAAACTAAATGTGCTTTAGGAGGTGATAGTATGTTAACAAATACACCCCATACACAAACACATATATAAAGTCCACCACCGAACAATCGGTTATTGAAGTTCCACGGAATTATTTACTGTAGAGGGTCAAAGACATCCGTCCATTCAATTGAATCTCAGGCATATCGCCACCCGTGGCCAATTTGTTTATCTGAGCTGTCTGGATTGGATTTCAGACAGTTGGATTTTCAAGAGACCAAGGCGCAGATGTGCACTGCGGCGTAACTGTATATCTCCGTGCCCCCTTCATACAATCGTTAATAAATACACCTTTGAACAGCCGTGGTGTTGTATTCTCCCTTATCTAGCTGGGGGTTAGCGTTGTCTACGTTACCCACTGTCACGGCTAAAACGTCAGCTGGCAGCATGTTGAGAATTCAGGTCTAGCGGGATAGATGGTCATACAATCACTGTCAGCGTTGTTTCTAGTTGAGGCCGGCTGGAAACAGGCTCGAAGTCGTTCAGATGGCTAAGCTAACTGGTTTTCTAATTAATATTACAGTTCTCTTTCTCCTAGGGGGCTGGTCAGTATTCTTCAACGATATCAGCCAGAAACAGAAGACTAATAGTGCTGCTAGTAGTATAACTCTCCCTCTGTAAAAAACCATAGTGAGTTTCCCCTCGATCATCTGCCTATGCTAATGTGGTGTATGTACAAGGATTCGTTAATTGTCCGCCCTTTGAATCTCGTGCTTCATTTGCTTCTTGTCCAGTGTCCTTCGCATATGGCAGAAATAACGAGGATCCTAAGAGCTTAGACACATGGAGAAAATGAGGCACATAGAAGGAAACCAATTTCTTAAGCCTGTCGACGCAGCCTGTTTGAAGTAACACCAAAATACATATATGACTCGGGAAAAATAATCCACATTAGTAAAATATGTGTCACAAGCATAATAGGCTGTCAGTGAAAAAATTTAGGCATGTATTATAAGTGTGAAGGCGCTCTAGGAGCCTCACGGTTCATCCAAAACCTGTTTTTTGCAGCGTTTCGTGGCTCTGATTACCTCTTTGGTTAGTAGTGGGTATTCAGGCAGCTGGGTGTCGCGCTGGTTTGCGATTCATGATGTTGCTCTGAAATCATGCTGGTTTAAGGAAGTTGACGCTGACCCAGACGTTGTGTCCTTTTCTGCACAGAACGTAGAAACTGTCCATGCTTTTATTAACTTCATATAGTCCTTCGTATGGAGGTTCCGGTGGGCGACCTACACAGTCATGATAACAAATACGTGTGAAGAAGTCTTTAAACATGGACAAACGAAAAAGTCTTTGGGAGGTAGCCGAAAATGCGGAGGCATAATTGGAAGTACTACACTTGTGAACAGGAGAAGGAACAGTAACATGGGAAAACATTGGGGCTTTTAATGTATATAGGACACCTCAAAGAGTGAATGCATCCGCACAAAATGAGAACAATCTGGAGACGTATCACGAAATGTCTACAACCGCTGATTTTTCTTATCCTGAGGACTCCAATCAAGCTGCCTGCACCTCTGTACGCTGCTCAAATCGACTGTCCTAGTTTCTTTTTGATTGATGGCAGGTTTCGTTTTGACCACCTCTCAATATTTTCTAATCTAACCCCAGGCCTCCTAACATTGCTCGACGAGCCAGATGGTGACTCTGGATTTGCAGCACGTGCCCTAGCCATCTTAATAGGTGTAGCTTCACAACTTCACCGATGCACTTTCTTCCCTTACCTAGAACTCTATGTCTAACCTCAGTAGTACCCACCATATTATTCCCCTTAGTGCTGGAAATAGACTACAGACGCCGGTGATCAAAGACGGCTAGTCTTTTACTGTCTCACACTTTC